AACAAAATAAAATTATTTATTTGGGCGGTAATTACTCTTTATTACCCTACCAAGATTGATGCGGTTATTTAATTTATGAAGATTATATGTTCAAACAATCCAAACTTTGATGCCACATGTAAGATTAAATACTTTATAACATAATATCAGGATCTTGAACAAGATAATTTTACATAGAGGTTGAATAAACCTATCCCCTAGAAAAAGAACCAGGTTCTTGTAAGTTGCTTTTAAGTCAAAACACAAACACTTGTTAAATTAAAAACCTTTCTCAATCAAGGAAGGAAAAACCCCATTTTATTAATTCAACTAGAAGATTTTGTTATTACAACTGAATAATCAAAAACCTCGCCACTACTACAACTCTCGATTAACTATAATCGACTACTTCTACTCTCCAAAGGTCAAACCCACCTTTTGTTACAAACCTCACCAAAACTCAACTCTACAAGAAGACAAACCCACTTCTTGTAAAAAGAATCATAACTAACACTCAAGAACGAAACAAGAAAATAGTTTTACACATTCAAGACTTTCTAACTCAAGAACTTCTTGAACTTAGCAAACCTATCGATCTTGAAGACTTATACTCGATGAATAATTCTCACTTTTCTCTCTATGTGAAGTCGTGATCTTCTTATCTGCGTTTGTCCTCTTCTTATAGATTTTCTTCTGCCTTGAATCCTTATTAATTAAGGTAAGGAAATTGTAATCATAGTTGAACAAGGAGTACTGATTTTCCCTTTTTATTGTACAATCCTTTTTCTATACAACTTCCTTACTTAATATATTAAGGTTTCCTTATTTGTCTCAACTTATATATTCATCATTCTTTAGCTCTTGTACACGTTTTAGGTGACTTCTTGTTGCAACAGATTTGGCGATGAATCTGACAAACTTGCGACAAATTTGGCGATGAATCTGGCAAACCTTTTTTACACATATATTTGCATTTCTTTGTTTATCATCACAACTTTAATTTTCTCTGTTTGTAGGATTATCAGATTCTAACATATTCCCCCTTTTTGATGAAGACAAACATGTATAATGCAACTATAATAATCTTCCCCCTTTTGAAAAATCAAAAAGAGTCCAATAATAGATAATCAAAACAAGATAACATCCACACCAATAAGTGAAGCTCACCCAGTTGAGCAAAATAAAGTGTTCTTGCAACACAAAGAAGATTAACAACACAGAGTTAATGATCAAAACCAGGTGCAAACAAAATGCTTTTCAAGTTGAAGATTGACTAGGTTTGGTGGAGGCAGAAGCAAGCATATCCAGAACTATGTCAACCCTTGTATTGTTAGCAAGCTGCTGCTGCACCAACTGATCTTTCAACCTGTGAATCTCAGCATTTGAAGTATGAAGTTCAGCACGTAAATTCTGGTTTTCCAATTCAAGAGTGGCATATTTTTCCTCTGCCACTTTGAGTTCCCTGATTAACTGAGCAACAAGACCAGATGTACGTGGAGAAGCATTAGCGACCTGCTCCGACTCCATGGGAATGCCACAATCAGCAAGAATGGTTTGAGTAAACATATATGCATGAGTCAAAACCCTTCCTTCTCCCAATGGTACTTCAAATGCATCAAATACTCTAGTTAACATATTTCCAAAAGCTAATTGATGAGAACCTAGTTTAGGATCAACAATTCAAGCAAGATGTTTGATGATCAGTGTGGGCCAGTCAATGCGTTCTTTGCACTCAAGAGCATTCATAAGTCTCATGTTCCTTATGGAGGATATGTGACGTTGGTAACCTCTAGGCAGTATTACCTTATGTACTATCTCAAAGAGAAGCTTATGCACTGATCTCATAATGCCCTTTAAAACAATTTGTGCCCTAGAATTGACTCTACCTTGAGAGAATTTAGCTGGCAGGCTAGAATGTTCATCAAAACCCCAATGATACTAATTAATACCCACATATGGTATATGCAAGATTTCCCCAAGCTTAGTTGTATCAAAAACAATTTCAACTCCCTTCACATTAGAAGATACCACATCTCCTTCCAATATTATTAAATTTGTATAAAAATCTACCACTTCTTGTTCATAAATAAGACTAGGTTCAAGAAATAACTCATCCAACCCCTGAAACCTTAGTAACACACAAACCTGCTTGACTATGTCCATTGATAGAATATCAGGATGAAAAGTTCTACCCCAAAGCACTGTTTTGGTTTGAAAATATTTTTTCTTTCCAACTTTGAGAAATTTATCCACATTTCTTTTTGCAGATTTTGACTTTGACTGAGGAGTTTCAGAATGTATACCCTCAGAGATATCATCAGTTTCATAATCAAGAATCATTGGAGAAACAGATGAGTGAATTGGAGACTTACCCAGACGACGTCGCTTCACACTAGATGTTGCACCATCAGTTGGTTTGACTACATTCGCACTTCGAGTTACTGGCCTGTGTGGACGAACCTGTTTGACTGCAATGTGTTTTCTTGGCCGTCTTGGTTTTTAAGGATGAAGTGTACTCATAAGGATGTCATCATTGTATAGAAAATGTAGAGAAGGTGGTGGATTTTGAGGAGTGGTTTTGTGAGTTGGGGAAGAAAAGGGGTTTTTTGAGATAGTGGTTACGGGTGTTTCGGAGTTTGGTGGTAATGGGGTTTCTTGGACTGGTGGTGATGGTGATTCTATGACGGGTGGTGGTGGAGACTCTGCAACTGGTGGTGGAGATGTTTCTTTAAATGGTGATGGTGGAGATGTTTCTGTAACAGTTGGTGGTGGAGATGTAGACGGAACTGATTTGGGTGAGGATGTAGATGGTTTGGTTGGAAGTTGGTTTTTTCCCCTTAATTAAGTAAAGTATCAATGACGGGGTTCTCTTCCCCCTGAGAAGATGCACTGTCAGATGAACTTTCGTCCTCTGAGTAAGCAACGAGTGGATTAACCATGGTGATGGAGAGGATTTTTCTGAAAAATGGAGAAGAAGAAAGAGTTGGTTGATTGTTTGGGGAAAGTGCTTTATTGGAAATGGTTTTGATGTCGTATTCAAGGAGTTTTAGTAATTATGGTGAATTGACATCGAAGAGACGTGTGCTTTGACGATTGCACCTGCTTTGCAGAGACGTGACATAGGAGACAGAAGAAGAAATTGTCCCCCCCCCCTTTTTTTAATTTTTGACTATTAATTTTCCTTGCTTAGTGTAAAGTAGTTGTAGAACCAACTAGACTGTACCTGGTTCTTACATCCTTAGAACTTGGTTGGAAAAAAATCAATCTAAAAAGATGATCCCTAACTCAAGTCTATTTTTCTGAAATGATTCTCTTCCTAGTGCCTTGGTGAAAATATCAGCAACTTGATCCTCAGTTTTGCAGAACTTCATCACTGTGTTTCTTTTTCAACATTATCATGAAGGAAGTGATGTCTACATCTATGTGTTTGGTGCGTTTGTGTTGAACTAGGTTTTTAGCCATGTTCATAGCACTTGTATTATAACATAGAATAGGAATACAACCTGTTTTTATGCCAAAATCTTTAAGCTGTTGTTTTATCCAAAGAAGTAGGGCACAACATGAAGCAGCTGCTACATACTCAGCCTCAGCAGTGGATAAAGCAACCGAATTTTGTTTTCTAGTTGCCCAAGATATTAGACATTGTCCTAAAAAGTGTGTCATCCCACAGGTACTTTTTCTATCTACCATATGTCCTGCATAATCTGCGTCAGCATATCCTTTTAAATCAGAAGAGTCACCAGTTGGATACCAAAGAACCAGGTTCATTGTGCCTTTTAAATATCTCAAGATTCTTTTGACAACTTTTAGATGTGATTCCTTGGGACAGGACTGAAACCGTGCACATACACCCACACTGAACACTATATCAGGTCTACTGGCAGTAAGGTATAGGAGTGATCCAATCATACCTTTATATCTAGTGTCATTTACTGGTGAACCTGGTTCATCTTTATCAAGATTTGTTGTTGTCCCAATGGGTGTGTCATTTGACTTAGCTTCATTCATATCATACTTCTTCAATAATTCCTTGATGTACTTTTGTTGATGAATTGATGTTCCAACTGGAGTTTGTTTAATTTGGAGTCCTAAAAAGAAGTTTAGCTTGCCCATCATACTCATCTCAATTCACTATTCATTAGTTGAGCAAATTCTACTCCAAGTAAATCATTAGTTCCTCCAAATATGATATCATCTACATATACATGGACTATGAATAGATCTTCACCTTGTTTTCAAAGAAACAGTGTATTATCAATTTTTCCTCTTATGTATCCATATGTGAGAAGAAAGGTGGACAATCGATCATACCATGCTCTAGGTGCTTGTTTTAGCCCATAGAGTGCTTTGTCTAGTTTGTATGCATGATCAGGATACTTGGTATTCTCAATACCTGGGGGTTGTTTCACATACACCTCTTCTTGCACATAACCGTTTAAGAAGGCACTTTTGACATATATTTGATAGAGTTTAAATTCCATGTGAGCAGCATATGCAATCAATATTCTGATTGCCTCAATTCTTGCTACGGGTGCAAAGGTTTCATCGTAGTCTATCCCTTCTTCTTGGTTATATCCCTGTACAACTAGACTAGCTTTGTTGCGTACTATTTGACCTTGCTCATCGATCTTATTTCTAAACACCCACCTTGTTCCTATTATCGTCCTGTTTTGAGGTTTTGGAACCAGGTTCCATACTCTGCTTCTTTCAAACTGATTAAGTTCTTCTTGCATAGCACTAATCCAATCAGAGTCTAGTAGTGCTTCCTTTATATTTTTTGTCTCAATCAAGGATACATAGGCAGAGAAGGCACACATGCTACGTAATTTGGATCTTGTAGAGATGCCTGAGTTAAGAGGAGTAAGAATGTTTTGTAAAGGGTGAGAGCTTTGATGTTTCCAGCTGTGAGTTGGGATGTTTACTGGCTCTTGAGATGCAGAAGAACCAGTTTCATTAGTAGACTTATCTCTTATTTCATGTGTTTTATGAGAGGGTATGGATTATTCTTCCCATCTTTTTGGTTATGATGTCTTGGAGCAGGTTCCCTCATTCTGTTCATCCTTTGAATTTCCTTCAACTTCACTGTTATTTTCATTAAAGACAACATGAACACTTTCTTCTACACGGTTTGTTCTTTTATTCAGTACCTTGTACGCTTTGCTTTGTGACGAATAGCGCAGAAAAATTCCTTCATCACTCTTGGCATCAAATTTTCCCAAGTTGTCCTTGTCATTGTTGTGTATAAAGCATGCACACCCAAAGGCCCTAAGATGTGCTAAATTTGGTTTTCTTCCTTTTAGAAGCTCATATGGTGTTTTGTTTAACACTGATCTGATCATACATCTGTTTATTAGATAGCATCCTATGTTTACTGCTTCAGTCCAATAGAATTTTGGAAGTTTGCTTGAGATTAACATTGTTCTTGCAATATCTTCCAGTGTTCTATTTTTCCTCTTAACTACACCATTTTGTTGTGGTGTTCTAGGTGCTGAGAAGTTATGCTCAATCCCATTTGTAGAACAAAATTGTACGAATTGTGAGTTCTCAAACTCCAGCCCATGATCAGATCTGATGCTAATTATTTCTTTGTTGAGTTTTTTCTGAACCAGCTTTGCAAAGATTTCAAACATAGTGAATGTTTCATCCTTTGTTGCAAGAAACAATGTCCAAGTGAATCTTGAATAGTCATCAACTATTACAAACACATATCTTTTCCCACCTCTGTTTTGTATACGCATTGGTCCACACAAATCCATGTGTAGCAGTTCTAGTGGCTTGGTAGTACTCACTGTCAACTTTGGTTTGAAGGATGATCTAACCTGTTTTCCTTGAATGCAGGTTTCACATACTTGGTTGTCCCTGAAACTTTTGGTTGGCAGTCCCCTAACCAGGTCTTTAGATATGAGTTTATTTATTGTTGTTATGCTAATGTTTCCCATTCTTTTGTTCCAGATCATGGAGCAATCAGATACTGCACTTAGACATTTAAGAGTATCTTCCTTAGAGTTAACAATCTTGGCTTTGTACACATTCTTGTGTCTCTTACCTAGTAGAACCAGGTTCCCAGTCACTGAGTTTGTTATTCTGCATTCTTTTTCTGTAAAGAGAACATTGTTTCCTTTATCGTATATTTGAGATACGATCAATAGATTATGTTGTAGGCCATTCACATAGTATACATTCTTAATTGCATGAGTATCCATGGACCCAACCTTTCCAATTCCCTGAATTTCCCCACTTTTTCCATTACCAAAGGCAACGTTTCCTCTTTTGATGTTTTTGAGTGAGAGGAAGCTTCTTTTATCTCCAGTCATGTATCTGCAACATGCACTTTCCAAGTACCATTGTTGTTGCTTCCTTCTCACTGATCCTGCAATTTAATTTCGGGGTTTAGAGTTTGGTACCCAAATCCACTTTGATTTATGCTTAGAGAATGGATGAATAAGATTTTTTCTGGACCTTCTGGGAAGAGATTTGACTGTAGGGATTTGATTTTGCTCATTGGATTTCTCATGATGAGATTTTCTCAAAGATTTCAAGTTTTTGTTATGAGCAATTTGTTTTCTTTGACAATCATGACTTTTATGCCCTACCATCTCACAGTGCATGCATAGACAATCTATATTGGGATTTTTTACATGAGATCTAGTTTTATCAAAACCTATCCCATGTCTCTCAGATGTACGATTCTTGTGAATGTTTTCAAGCAATGTGGAGGACCTGATCCATCTCATTCCATTTTCAGCTTCAGTTTTAGTCACAAGAAGCTCTTTGGTTAGTGCTCCATTCCTTTTAGTTACCAAATCTAGGTTCTTACTTAGCTCAGTATTCTTGGATAAAAGATGAAGATTTTGTTTTTCAAGATTCTTGTTTTCTTCTCTTAGTGAGCATAATCTTCCATTATCAATTCCCTTTTTGAGTCTATGGTTTTATATGCATCAATGAGAGTGTAGAGTAAAGATTCTAGCTCCCTTTTTTAGTATGAGTTTAGATTGTCTTGTATGTGATGAAGACTAACCTTTTCATTAGTATATTCTTCTTCTTTGTCCTCTTCAGAATCTGATCCAGCCATGAGTGCTAATATGGTTTCTTGTAATCTGCAGGTTTCCTTTTCTTCCTTTGTTTCTACTGCTACAAGAGCAAGAAAGTCATAATTATCTTCTTGTTCTAGTGCAAGAAGGGATTTGTTTTCTGTCTCATCATCCTCATATTCTTCATCAGATGAATTCCCCATTGCTGCAAAGGACCTTTTCATTGAGATATTTGCCTCTTGAGTTGTAATTCTTCTGTTTGAGGGAACAAACTTATCTTTCTTGATGTCTTTGCCCTTCTCAGGGTTTGTCTTTTTCTGCTCTAAAGCAAAAAGTGGACAGAATTTGATGAATTGATTCGGGCTTCCAAACTTATGACAAACCTGGTCTTTAGTATTTTCAGATGATTTTTGAGGAGTTTTCTTTTGAAAGTCCGGTCCTCTCTTTAGCATTCTGGTGAACCTTTTGGTTATAAGGGCAATATTTTTCATCCTCGAAATCATCTGATGCAGTAGCCTTTAGAACCAGGTTCCTTTCCTTCCTTTTTCCTCCAATTTCCTTTTCTTGGTTTTTCTTGAGTTCGTATGTGATGAGATTACCAATTAACTCATCCATGGCTAGTGAATCTAGGTCGCGGGCTTCAGTGATATCCTCGACTTTGTTTGCCCAAGTTTCAGGAAGGACACTCAAGAGTTTCTTTACTACCTTTCCAGTAGGAACTATCTCTCCCAAGGAGTACATCTCATTGATGATTAAAGTGAACCTGGTGTGCATGTCTTGTATGGTCTCCCCTTCTGCCATCCTGAACAGTTCATATTGTCTGTTCAAGTTATCAATTTTGGACTTCTTGACTTGCGTTGTTCCTTTATGAGCGGTTTGTAGTGTTTCGCATATGGCTTTGGCATCTTGACAAGATGAGATTCGATTGTATTCGTCTGGTCCTATGCCACAGATCAGAATTTTCTTGGCTTTGGCATTGTTTTGGATTGCGAGCTTGTCTTCAGCATTCCATTCTTTTCTTTCCTTTGGGATTTTGGTGATTCCATCAGTTGCAGTTTTCATAGGCATAGTTGGTCCAGCTAGAATTACTTCCCATAGATCAGGGTTTTCGCCAATAAGATGATCCATTACACGATTTTTGCACCATCCATAGTATTTGACATTAAATAGTGGTGGTCGTGTTTGTGAAGCTCCCTCTTGTGTGGTAGGTGGTGCTGCCATTGAGTCTTTTCAAGGTGTGAATATTTTATCGAAAAAACCTGCTCTGATACCAATTGAAAAAGCCTATCCCCTAAAACAAGAACCAGGTTCTTGTAAGTTGCTTTTAAGTCAAAACACAAACACTTGTTAAATTAAGAACCTTCCTCAATCAAGGAAGGAAAAACCCTGTTTTATTAATTCAACTAGACGATTTTGTGATTACAACTCAATAATCAAAAACCTCACCTCTACTACGACTCTCGATTAACTATAATCGACTAATACTACTCTCCAAAAGGTCAAACCCACCTTTTGTTACAAACCTCACCAAAACTCAACCCTACAAGAAGCAAAACCCACTTCTTGTACAAACAATCGTAACTAAAACTCAATAACGAAACAAGAAAATAGTTTTACACGTTCAAGACTTTCTAACTAAAGAACTTCTTGAACTTAGCATACCTATCGATTTTGAAGACTTCTACTCGATGAATAATTATCACTTTTCTCTCTATGTGAAGTCGTGATCTTCTCATCTTCGTTTGTCCTCTTCTTATAAAATGTTCTTCTGCCTTGAATCCTTATTAATTAAGGTAAGGAAATTGTAATCATAGTTGAACAAGGAGTACTGATTTTCCCTTTTTATTGTACAATACTTTTTCTATACAACCTCCTTACTTAATATATCAAGGTTTCCTTATTTGTCTCTGATACGCTCAAACTTACTTCTCAAATGAGAAGTAAAGCGGTCGCGTCAAGTAAATAACCCAACTAGTGAGGTTGGGATCGTTCCCACGAGGAAAATAGTCTAGACTTAACTTCAACTTGTTATTACTATTGTTCGGTTGATGACTTCCTTAGAATGTAAAAACATAAAAAGGGGGGTTTTATCTCTAAATAAGTGAAAATAAACAACGAACTTGAAAGTGACACTTAACAGCTTTTAATTTTGGGTTTTAATCAATTAATCAAAGTAACTAGGATTTACGTGTTCCGCACAGGTTCATAACTTGATAATTCTAACTATAACAATTCTTTCCTAGTATCTTGCATGCAAAGTGATAAGTTATGTATTTCTAAATCCTTGGTCCTGCATCTAGAAAATCTCACTCCGCACCTTGGTCCGGCTGCGTGTGTTGCTTTCC